GCCTTGATTAGAAAGATGTGCGACAATGACAGTCGTAATTTTTTCTTGGACGATTCCAGATGGAATGTAGACGAATCAAAAAGACCTGTTGAAAATAAACATGGAAAGCAATTTTTTGGTTTGCAAGGATCATTTAGAACATTGACGATTGATTAATTATTTACTATTTAGGTAGAGTTAACTGCACAGTAGAAATAGTGATACTCACATTTGTAAACTTAGAATCTGTGAAGAAGAGTAATTCGTCTGCATATGTGATTATCTCTTTCTCATACAATATAAAACCGACATAAATCGGTTGTCTTTGATAAACGCATTTCAAATTATCTTCTTTAGAGGTTGAAGTAATACAGAATCTATATGATACCTTCACTCTTTAGGGTTCTTCCAATTTTTCTGTAGAAGTTGACTATCTGTGGGCATTTAATAGCATTATCCACTATTCCTGGATTTTAATTCTTGTATAACGTTATCTACTAGAAGTTCCATACCTTTTCAGTCACTCCCTTACCGCTATCTTTCAGTTTAAGAGTGTATGGGATGCGAACCGATTAACCGAACGAGCTGAACTCCACTTGTAAAAAACTGCGGGCGAATGCGCAGAGGTAAATTTTTTATTTCTGAACCGATCTTACTGAAATTTTAGCATCAGAAAGACCTGTTAATGAGAGCAAATCGATCGATTATATTAAACATGTTCATGTCAAAAAAGCTGCTTTCGCGTATGTATCTGCATGGTACAATTTCTTATTTGTGGACTAATTTTTGTGAAATTTATCGGTATGTGCTTCTTATTAAAAAAAATAAAAATTGAACATCCGCATGTAAAAAATTGCTACATTCATTAGGTACTTCCCTCAATAAATGACCAAGCGCGGCATTAGAAGTAAATACAATAAATGGGAAGTGATAACGTGCGGAAGAAACTCATTTTTTGACCTTACTGTCAGACGTGGTAAACATTTTAAAACCAACCTGAAACCAGTGCAATTTTCTTTGATAGGTACACTTCAATTCATATGAAATATGGAATATTCCTGAAGTGAGAAGATTAAAATATGCGTCCGTTATAAGAAGAGAATAAAAGGAATTAATTTATCCTTTCAGCTAAGTTATTAAGTCCATCTCTGCGATCAACGACCCCATCTGTTGATTTATTCATATCAGACCACACACAGATTTATATAGTATACTTGCAAATATTATACTTCTAATCCAATTAATTAATGTTAATTGCAATGAATTTACCTTGTAGTGAAAAGTATTCTGATAGTGGGGTCGCACTGAATATAATTGACTTTCGAGCCAAAAATTCACGAGTCGACTTACAATCCCTCGGGCCAGAGGCCCTCGAGCTTTGTCCCTCTGGGTATAAATATCGCCTTTATGCCTTTGATACATAAATAACTATAATCGGTCCTCCGATCGACTTTCGGACAACGTTGCCAAACTTTTGAGCATGGTAATTGTGTAGATGGCTGTACTAAAAAAAAGTATTATTTTTGTGAGTGCAGCATGAGGTCAACCATCTTGCTTATAATCCGACGAGACTCCCACTTTTTAAACATACGCACGCGTTGCGATTTGAAAAGTATAATTTTGAAAAAATACTGGTTTTTGCGACACGTGATAAATAAATCCGTACACAGAGGGGGTCTAGGACACTTCGCCGAATGCCCACAACGCCGACACGATTTTTTGATGGTCCATATCGCCGACTAGGGACTAATATCCAAAGCCATTTGTTCCACACTCGGTTCAGTTTCAGTAAGAATTTTCGTATGAGTTTGTAGTTCGGAAAAAGTTTTAAAAAAATATTCTAAACTTACAATAAGCTAACGTCAAAAGCTGCTTGGTGCCGTCCAGCTTCATTAAGAACTGTTGAATGAGTCGACGTTATGGCCACGTTCGGCTTAGTGTCTCTTGTAGACTTGTCGGCACGGCCAGCGTAGTGTCCCTAGTCGGCGATATGAACCATCAAAAAATCGTGTCGGCGTTGTGGACATTCGGCGAAGTGTCCCGGCCCCGCCCCGTGTGGTAAACCCACTGAGTTACATAGAGCAAAGATAATACGTTATCTTTGCATATAGCAAAGAGTACTCTTTGGTTTTACGGTTTTCCCAATTTATACCGAATAGAATGTCATTGAAAGATAAGGGACTTGCCTGCTAAATGCCGTATTGACAAGACCGGCGCTCAGCGCAGATTTGCAATTAAATATTTGTCAAGAATAAAAAAAGAGAATTTGATTCGCTAAGGCCGTTAGCCGGCGAATGTAGTTCTTCTTCTGAAGGGTAAGTCAAATCAAATAAATTATTCATTAGGTAATTCTGGATTTTGTTATTAGGGCATTTAGAAAGCGACTGGGCTTAAACTCACCCTTAAAGGACCAGCTTATAAACTTAAGTATTTGGTGAGTCGCGCAATTGATTACTGCGTACATACATAATCAAGAACATCTATACCTACTTCCACTTCTGCAAGTCCTTTATGGATCAGATAAAGGAGGTTTTATAATATCTCATTTTTTTATCAAACATTGTACGTTAATGCAGAGTCTGGAGCATGCTTTTGGCCGTATTAATCATTTTAAACTAATTATTGTCATTTATGATATTAAACCATTTTGTATGTATTAAAGACAAACTCCCTCAAGGTTTTTTTGATTTGTGAACGCACGACCATTTCTCACCGAGAATTTACTTTAATGAGCACGCTGGAAGTGACTACCCAGGAGTGGGTACACATAGACTCTGCGCGTGGAAAAATAATCCCAAGTACAGCGACCACATACCTTACAGGGTGTTACATGACCGCATGTAAAAAAAAATTGGGTGATAAAGGGGATCAAGACAAGCACTTTTTCTAAATAAACCGAGGGTCCAACGTGTTGTGTTTGGGAGCCACCCCCAAAGAAGTGGTGAAATTTGGATTTCTTCTTTCATTTTTTTCTCAGCAACCATAAGAGTTACAAAGATGCGTGACACGTCTTTGAATAGGTATGCCCTATCCGATTTTGAAAAAAATGTTTCAAAATTCCTACCAAAATTTGGTATCTGAGGGTTTCTGAACATGAAGATGACGAATCTGGAATTAGTTTTTGAAAATTCGAAAAAGTTCCACTGCAATTCTTGGCCGGACAGCGAAAATGGAGAGAATTCGAGGAAATTTGTTGTGTACATACTTGATGAGCTAAGGAACACAATAGAGTCTTCCTGAAAAAAAATATTGTAACTTTTTTGTGTCTTACTGTAAAGTTTATAACCTGTAATTAAACATCTCATATACAAAACTTTTTTTCCTAATTGCAGCATGCCAATAAACAACATATAATATCGTAAAACTTTCAAATTTTGCCATGCAACCGACGACCAGAGACTTGTTATACCCCGACGACATGCCGATATTGGCCGAGCGCCGCTTACATCATTACGCAGGTTGGCGATCGGGGTGTTAGTGCATGACACTGATAGGACTTATTATGGCAATTTGCCACAAACTGAGTTCTGACTGGTTCGTAAAGGGGCAGTTAGATAGTCTGCCAAAGGTTGAAGTGTTAATGGTCGCCGCCTTTTTCTCGAAAAGTGAGTTTTTCCATGCCACTCGTTTGAGTGGAGTCAAAGCCTAGAAGCAAATCTATTATGGTTCATAGGAAGTATAACAGCAAGTGTTTGTGTGTATAGTGCAAGGTATAGTGTAGGTACCTAATAAAGTATGCACCTTACGGATTTCAACGAGAAAATTATGGTGTTGGATATGTGGAAGTGAAAATAGAGAAAAATGTGTGCGCTGTAAGGGCACGAATATGCCCAGAACAGAGTTCGAAGTAAACCATATTCTGAATTACAATTACAATATTATATATCGAAGGATTTTCGTCGATAACTGACTGAAAGTAAATCGACATTATGAGAATCGTCTTCACAACAATACAAATGGGATGTCAAATTCGCGGTATCACGTGGAACTTTTTTCGTATATTTCCTGTTGGGACGTTTATAAACAATTTATTAGGTTCGCGATGACTTCTGCTATCACACCTAGTATGGAATGCCGTTTTAGTAAAAAGGCATGAAATTATCAAAAAACAATTTATACAACATTCATAAAACATATTAAAAAATTGTTAAATCATATTCGAACATTTGAACAAATTGTGAGTTGTAAAATATTTAAATACAAATTTATAACATTCTTTAAATTTCTGGCATTTTTACTAAAACGGCGTTCCAAAGTATTACCTGTAAAATTATTAGAAATTGGATTTGGCTGAATATAATTGCAAACAACACAAATTGACCAACTACAAAATGATGGTGTTTTAATTTATTGGAAAAGATAAAAACGATTGAAAATTTCATAAATATCGCAAAGCTTTAAGTTAAAAATAGGTTCAAATAAAACATATGAACATATTTTTTTAACTGTTGTAGAAAAACGTTTGGGGTGCTTTGAAATGCATACTTTTGGCACACGGATCATCAAATATAATATTACTTAAAAAAAGATCTTAACGTTTCATAGAATACAATTTTGTTTCTCAAAAATAACATCATAAATATAACACTTGTAGAAAATTTGTATTCACAACACGGGTTTAATATTTTTACATTTTGAAAGATATGATTTACATATATACAAATTATTCTACGTATAAAATAAAGAGTTGATGAAAAAATGAACCTTAACACAAAATTTAATGTAAAGTAAGATTTAGAAATCGACGATACGCCAAAAAAATAACACTGCTAAAAATGAAGTTCAAGTATGAAAGTTTCTTTAAATGTTATTAAAAAAAATTTAAGTTGAATTTGTTCGAGTGTTATAAAAACGAAAATTGTAGAGTTAAATAATTTAAGATTATAAAAATATTTAAGTGTAGTGTTTTTACATTTCAGGAAATTAAATTGTAAAGATAGGTATACAAAATATCGTTTATAGTTTTTTATTTCAGTAGATCTTAAATGTTGTAGATTGAACATTTGAGAAATATAAAATAATGATCTTAAAAAGTTAAACTAATATTTTTTTAAGTTCAATATTTTAGAGTGTTATAAAAATAACAGTCGATAATTTTCAACTTGCATTTTTACTAAAACGGCGTGGTAAGTATCGACGCCATCTACCGTTACGAAGATATGCAGACTTCTACCACCGTTGACCGTAATATACTGAAATAATATTACAGATTCCTTTGTTTAATTTTTATAGAAAAATTTTCGAAAAATAAAGTGGTGTTATAAGAATAATCGGTGTTAAAAGTGGTATATTTCCGTAACGGTAAGTAATAGAGGATAGGTTATTACAAATAAATGAGTTACATTCTGTTGTCTTTCAATTATCTATTTACAAGATCATGTTTATTTAGGCATATTTATGTTACGTATTAATATTCAGATGTCTACTCTGGGGGTGATTCCGGCCATCACTGTGCGGGTAATGCCGGCCGGGCCGGAATTACCCCATAAAATATTTTCATTTAATTTGTATCATTCTTTCAGATGCCGCGGACCTATAAAAGAAAGACTGAGAAATCTTCTTGGTCTGCCGACGACCTACAATCAGCTCTTACAGAACTCAAAAACGGTAGCCCACTTCGGGAAGTTGCTAGACGGTTTGGAATTCCAAGATCAACTCTTCAAGATCAACGTAAACGTGGGAATACATCCAAATTGCAATTGGGACGGTGCCCAGTATTTAGTGAAGAACAGGAGGGCGAACTGTCAAAGGAGATAATTAATCTTTCAAAGCTATTCTTTGGAATTACGCCGGCTCAAATCCAGCAAAGCGCCTACACTTACGCCAAACTGAATAATTTAGCAAATCGTTTTAACAAAGAAAAGGAGTCCGCGGGGCGCGATTGGCTAGAAGGATTTTTACGTCGCAATCCACAAATTAGTTTAAGAAAACCGGAACCAACCAGCGTAAACCGTGTGACAGCCTTCAACAAACTAGAAGTTGGAAAATTTTATGAAAACCTAAATAAAGTAATGGAAAGGTACAAATTTTCACCAACAAGAATTTTCAACGCTGACGAAACCGGTATTACAACGGTGCAACGGCCTGGCAAAATCTACGCAGAAAAAGGCCAAAAAAGAGTGGGATATTTGACTAGTTGGGAGAAAGGAAAAACCACGACTGCTATGTGTGCATTTAGTGCCACAGGAGTTTACGTTCCTCCAATGTTCATTTATGCTAGGAAGAGGATGGCCGATCACTTGAACAGTAACGGACCTCCAGGGGCTATTTATCGTTGCTCAGACAACGGATGGATAACTGAAGATCTGTTTGTTGACTGGTTGAAACATTTTGAATATTCAGTTAAAGCTTCACAAGAAGATCTGGTTCTTTTAGTGCTTGACAACCACTCCAGTCATTGCTCTTTAAACGCTTATAACTTGGCAAAGAAAAGGGGATTGTTATGCTCACGATTCCTCCCCACACATCCCATCGAGTTCAGCCACTCGATGTAACTTTTCATGGACCTTTAAAGACCGCATATAACTCAGAATGCGACAAATTCATGAGAAATCATCCCGGCGAAGAAATTACGCCCAATATCGTTGCTGACTTGTTCAACAAAGCTTTCGGGAGAGTTGCAACGGTTGAAAAAGCTACGAAAGGATTTGAGGTAACTGGAATATTCCCTGTTAATCCAGATGTTTTCACTGCTGAAGACTTTGTCGCCGCTGAGAATTTACAACCTACAAGCTCACATAAACCTATCCCTACAAATGAAGAAATAATTAGAACAGAGGAAGGAAGAGTAGACGTAGGAAAGCACATCATCGCAGCCAACGAATCGAAAGAAAATGTATCTTTTGCAGAAATAATTTCGACTCCTGGATGTTCAGGAATCAGTAACAAAAATCAAACAGGGGTTTCCAAGAAACAGCACTCTCAAATATTTACGGCCACGCCAATGAGAGGAGTTCTAGAGGAAAAGGAATCTGTAAAACAGAAGAAAATGCAGAAGACGAATTGTGGTGTGCGGGAAACGAAAGCAAAAGGCGTAAAAAGGCAAATTTTCAATGGTCCTAGTGATACCGGCAGCGTTTTGCTTACCAAAAATACCAACAACACTACCAACATTGTGGCGAAAAAAACAGGCCTTAGAAAAAAAAGTAAGGTCACCTACGAAGGTTGTGCGGGAGAAGAAGCAAATTCAGAAGACGGTGATGTTACCGAGGACATATGTATAATTTGTGGGGAATTCGGAAAGAACCGCGAAGTTTGGCTTAGGTGTGTGATTTGCGGTGGATGGGCACATAAAAATTGTAGCGATGGGGAAAAAAAGTGTTCATATGTATGCGATTTTTGTCAGTGAGCAATGTGTGGGGTAAATGCGGCCCCTGACCGGAATTACCCCAATGCTTGGGGATAATATCGGTCATGTATACATTATGTTATATAGATTGTCTATCTATATTTTTTTAAACGTTGTTTTCTGATTTTTAATAAAAGCACATTATGTTTCTAACCGTGTTACGTTTTAATGAAACCTGCCGATATTTTAAAAAATCTTAAAATCTCGCAAGATATTAAGGATTTCCGTTAGGGGGCCGGTATTCCCCCAGTCTCCCCTGGGTGTGTATACAATCACCAAAGTCACTGGTAAATGTACGAAATTATTCTCAATTATCTACTTTTACCGGTAATTGTATACAATAACCAAGGATCAGCGGTAAAGTAAGGAAATGATATGAAAAGAAGAAATAAAAACAATAAATTCAAATATTTTTTTTAAGAAGTGAGGCAAATTTTGTATGGCATTTGTACTATTTGTTTTGACATGACAAAATCTCATGGCACTTGGAATTACACAGCTTTCCATTCTTTTTACATTTACACTTGTCTGTTTTACATTTAGGGTTGCAAACACATCGCTGATAATAGGATCACACATGCACGTGGTAAACAAACGCACTGCGCTTGCGTGTCGATCCTTGAAATTTGAATTTCACTTTCAGACTTTCACCAAGCTCCTCTGGCGATTGTATACAATTACCGGTAAAAGTAGGAAATAGAGGGTTTTTTAAGATTATTTTCTACTTTTACCAAAGAAAAATTGTATTCAATTACCACATTATGTACCCTTACCGTAACATATACAATGATCATAGCTTGCACGCGCACTGAAAACACTCAAGTGTGCATCGAGCCTTAGCCCACGTGTACATTGGGCGCGTTCATAAGACACAACTGTTCTGGAACAGTTACTGATACGTCTTACAATTAGGTCGCTACTTTTACGCTCTTTACGGAGCAGTCGGCCATTTTTAGTAGCGCTACATACGTCAAAGTAGGGAACGTGACATAAGACCCCCAACTGTTACCGATACGCTACGAGGTAGCGTAGCGGTAACTGTTGTGTCTTATGAACGAGCCCATTGGCGTGCGATGAGCGTTTGTCAAACAAAATCAAGCATACTTGTAAAATTAATACAATACAAGTGCGTACATTGGCGGAAGCTGTGAGCGGCATCGCTAAGCGGTAACGCGGCGTTTCAAGCTGACTTGAATTATGAGCAATATTGCTATAGTGCGGCGCAGTCTACGGCAGTTTAATGTGCTCTTGAAGGTTTTTTTAAATACATTGATTCCCTTTTCAATGCAAACGAACTGCCCCTGAGGCCTGATGGAGGTATGTAACACTGTAATTTTGCGATGTCGACGCTCATTAATGTAGATATACCACGCTCACCGCTCAACTCTCGCCAATCAGAGACTTGTTACAACTACACCTTTTCCACTTTTATTCGAGAAACTATCAAGTTAATTTGAGAAAGTATCAATTGAAGACACACGTGGATAAAGGTGTTATGTCACAGAATGATTATTCTCTAAAAAATGACATTAAAGATTTTAGATTGGAACTTTGTTATTTATTCAATGTCTACAGCTCTTTAAACGTCATATTTGAGACATCATTTTATATTTTATAGGGTCATATTTTACTTTTAAAAAATATTGGTGGGTTGGGAGAAAATGAACTTTGAATGTACATGACACCTTCATTCATGGTGATATGTATAAACTAGTGATACATATAAATGGAGGAAGGTGTTATTTAACCAAAAATGTTTTATTTCCATTATAAAAACATCAATAACAGAGTTGATTTATTATCTTATGTGGTTTTTCTTTTTTTCTTGGGATTGTCTTGATTTTGTTCCAAAATGTTCTCATAAAACCATTTATATTCCTCTTTGACGAACTGTAGTTGTTCACGTAAGTTGTTTAGTTTTTCTGTAGTTAAGCCGCCTCTTTTTTCTGTTATGTGTCGTACGGTAACTGTATTACCACTTACCACTCTATGTCCTTTTTTGAGCAGATCGACTTTGTGGAATGGAGTAAAGTCGTCGAAACTTTCTTTGTATTTATAACTACCAAATTCGTCAACCCTGATCCATTTAATACTGTCTCTAAAATTTACTTTTTCACCCAATAAGTTTGTCTTCTTGTTCCAAATATGCAACTGCGCAGGAAGTTCTTCAATATTACGAAAGTAATTCTCCATGTTCACACAAACACAATTTTTGGTGCTCGCACTTTGAATAATGTCACGGTATTGTTCAGGCACGTAAATGTTTTCTACCTTTCTAAGTTTTTTTTCTATTCTACCAAAGTTTCGGTCAGAGTCTAAGTAATTATGTCCAACCTCTGGAAATTTATGATCTATTACTTTAAATGATCCATTTAAAATTAAAAGTTGATAAAGGGACACAATGTTGAAGTTCTTGTTTTGGCCGGCACAAGAATCAGACCAAATTATTAAATGGTCAATCTGGTTGTAGGTTTCCTTCGGTAGTTGAGAAAATCTGTATAAACAACTGGCTATCTCAATACTCCCCCGGTTGGCAATGTCTTCAGTCCAATTAAAGAAAAATGGTTTGGATTCATGGTCAATTATGCAATGAATACCAAAATTGTAATACCACATTTGACGCAAGTAAAATGCTTTACTTGTTGATAATTTTGGCAGTGGCATTGTTTGCTGGAGATCCATAGTTAAGTAACAGATGTTGTTTTCAGTCATTGGCTTCTCTCTATCTCTCTTTTGGGATGCAAATGCGGCTTTGTAATTTTCAGTATGGATATCTGTATTTTTTCCAGCATCGCAAACGCTGCATGTATCGCTTCGTGGATATCCAAACGAGAGATTAAATTTTGTGGAAAATATGTTGCTATATGAAGACAACTTTATATGGAAACACTCCTCCAGTCCATCTCTTTTACATTCTTCGAGATACAACTTGTGCATTAGAGTAATATTAAGTAGAGGCGACAAATACTTTTTGTAACAATTTTTGTTTCTGGAGTAATGGGATTCTTCGGCTGGAAATTTTTTGATGTGATTTTCAATGCGGTCAATAACACGTTCACTAATTTTGTGTGGACGATTAGCATGACGACCTCTTTTGTCGGGTGTTGGTGCATTTTGCCCATTCTTTAACATTCGTTGTATAAGTTCAATTTTTTTTCGGCTAAACTGATACAAGGAGCACATCGCATCTCTGCAAACAAATTCTGACTTTTGGTTGAAGGTAATGGAATATGTAAACGTATATGTTTTTTGTTTCTTTACGTTTAATCTATGTCTCGCAACAGGTTTAATATTTAAACTTTTGAACAGCAATGCATTTTTCGCATTCACATCAAGACCATAGTATTTTTTAGCGCATTTTGGCAAAAATTTTTTTTTGTAAAAAGTAGCTTTTAATCTCACTTTGGCTGGCTGGCTGGCTGGCAGCAAATGTGGGCGCGTAGAAGAACTCTTGTAGAAAGGCAACGGGTGTACGTGTATCTACAGGACCGTGAAATTTGTCAACCTTAGGGACATGGCTACATGATGTGGGGTTGGCGACATCTGGGCGTCATCCTCGAGCGTAGTATACTAACGTGAAGGTTTTTCAGTTTTTTCCTATCTTCTACTACAGTTTTGGTCCGATTCTTTTGAAATTGGTGTCGTCGGAAAGATGTTGTAAACGCGCACAACTCCTGCGTGGCGGAATTTTGTTTTTTGTCATAGGGGCGAAATTAACGACCTTTTGCGAGGCGCGCGCGCGCGTCTTCGAGAAGTAGACAGGCGCCTTTTACCTTCCGTTGCGAACTCACGCGGTTTAACGTTTCGTGAATCTCGAATCGCTGTCTCTCTTTCTCGTGTCGCCAATAGAAGTGAATTGCGAGTGAACGGGACGTCGGAAGGGGGTACCGTCAAAGGAAATGTGGTAGCCCCCGACACGATCTTCCTGATGGTGGAGTCAAATCTTCAAACTCGAATTGCGGGTGAATCGAACGTCGGAAGTGGGTACCGTCAAAGGGAATGTGGTAGCCCCCGACACGATCTTCCTGATGGTGGAGTCAAATCTTCAATCGCGAATTGCGGGTGAACGGGACGTCGGAAGTGGGTACCGTAAAAAGGAATGTGGTAGCCCGCGACACGATCTCACTGATGGTGGAGTCAAATCTTCAATCGCGAATTGCGGGTGAACGGGACGTCGGAAGGGGTACCGTCAAAGGAAATGTGGTAGCCCGCGACACGATCTCACTGATGGTGGAGTCAAATCTTCAAACGCGAATTGCGGGTGAACGGGACGTCGGAAGGGGGTACCGTAAAAGGGAATGTGGTAGCCCGCGACACGATCTCACTGATGGTGGAGTCAAATCTTCAGACGCGAATTGCTGGTGAACGGGACGTCGGAAGGAGGTACCGTCAAAGGGAATGTGGTAGCCCCCGACACGATCTTCCTGATGGTGGAGTCAAATCTTCAAACGCGAATTGCGGGTGAACGGGACGTCGGAAGTGGGTACCGTAAACGGGAATGTGGTAGCCCGCGACACGATCTCACTGATGGTGGAGTCAAATCTTCAATCGCGAAATGCGGGTGAACGGGACGTCGGAAGGGGGTACCGTCAAAGGAAATGTGGTAGCCCCCGACACGATCTTCCTGATGGTGGAGTCAAATCTTCAAACGCGAATTGCGGGTGAACGAACGTCGGAAGTGGGTACCGTCAAAGGGAATGTGGTAGCCCCCGACACGATCTTCCTGATGGTGGAGTCAAATCTTCAAACACGAATTGCGGGTAAACGGGACGTCGGAAGGGGGTACCGTCAAAGGGAATGTGGTAGCCCCCGACACGATCTTACTGATGGTGGAGTCAAATCTTTAAAAGCGAATTGCGGGTGCACGAGGAAAATGGGAAGCGGTTAGTGAATGTAGTAGCCTTCGACAAGATCTGTTATTGATGGTTGAGTCGAAAGTGGCTAATAGAATACTGATCTGCCACACAAAAATGCGCTGAAGTCCCTTCGATCTCAAACGAGGACTTTGATAATTTTTTAAGATTATTTTTCTGTCGTCTAAGTTAAATTTTTCAGTGCACTTTAACCTGCATTTTTCCTTGCACAACAATCCAGAGTTTATTTCTTTTTGTGGCACAACCTTTCCCGTTTGAGACAAATATTCTTCTCCCTTTGCCCCGGCCATTGCAGCTTTCCGTCTTTTCCACTGATCCGGATTCCTAAGACGACGTCTCGAAGTCTTCTCTTTTAACTCAAATAACTTCTTCTTCACAGTTTGTCTTTTTACTTCAAAAACCCGGTCTTCTGCTACTTCTGTGTTTCCCATTTCACTATCAGCAGTAACATGGTCTATGAGTGCAGCATCTTCGGGAGTTTTTGAGTACCTCATTGGATCATTATTTCTTTGCGATAATAATTTTTCACGAATGTTAGTCAGCACCTCATTATCCGAGTCATCGCTTGATTCTCCATCGGGAAAGTATTCGCTCCCAGACGTTGCATCTTCGTCAGTTAAATAATCATCCATATTTGATCTTGATGGTTGAAAACCATAATCGCCTATAACAGTACTACCGTAATACCTAGGTACTCTTAAACCTATTTTTTGTGTTGCATGATGTAGAAATATAGGTAAGTATAGATGTAAATGTTTACCTTTATTCCTATTGGATACATCTGAATTTTCAGGGCGATTGGTGATGTTATCAGTTGAGAAATCTTTACTGGTACTAGGAAAATGACATACCTACTTCTAAAAATGATAAACATATAAAAAGTGTATAGTTATCATACTCGGAGAACTCACCCACATTCTTTTCTAAAACACAAAAGTTGCTCGAAGTACTACTTAAGTTTTCACTCTTATCATTTTGTTTATTCAAATTCAAGCCTAAAATTGTTAAAAAGTAATGGAAACCTGATATGATATAATGCAATCATTTTATTCCTATACCTTCCTGTAGTGTAGCCGGTGGCTGCTTTTGCGTATTTAGAAGCTCTAAAATGTATTTTCCTCTAGACATTATTTTAAAACTGCAAGTACATCATCACAAACAAAGTGCAACACTTTCACAAATCTTTACACATAACCTATTCAAGCGCGATGGTGGAAGTAAAACTTTCTACTAACAGTGGATGAAGGTGTTATGTTTGACGTTAAGTACATAACACCTTTATCCACTGTGGAACCATAAAAACAGTGGAACATAACACCTTCATCATTAAAAATATCAGCTATTCACCATATTTGGACTTCAAACTGATTAACAAATGAAAGAATAGCATGTTTAATATCACTAGAACGCAGAAAGTCAATTTTTAAAAAAATGTTACATGACACCCACAGAATAAGACCTTCACAGAACAGAAACATAAATGGCGCTAAATTGTCACTGATTACAGCGTTTCCCGTGGTTGTACGGAGAACTATTTATCGCAGACTCAAATATTTTTTTGCAAAACCTGTAATTTTGCTCGTTACAGGAAATATTTTTACCGTCGATTTTATACGTACACAGGTTTTCCACATGTCAATTTTGACTTTTGAAAGATTTAAAATATGAACAAGTTATGTGACCGTAAAAAGTGTTGTGTGTCGGATTGTAACAATAAAATATCAAAAAGGCATCGTTTCCCACATTTTGAAACAGCTTGTTTTGTGCTTGAAACGCGAAGAGGGTTGAAATGTGCTGTTATTTCTTTCCTTTTGCAATTTATGCAAGGTATGTAACAGGTACAAATTGACGCAGAATTATTACCAACTGTACCTATAGGCGCAAAAGGGTGTAGACTTGAGTTTTATATTTATATAGATGTAGATACTTATATTGTAATTCGTTTTAGATAATTCAACAACTTCCACCCTCGCTTCTCAAGTAACCAGTAAGCACCAGGATCAAGTTAACATTTGTTGTCAAAAACTTGTGTGACAATTCAACTCATGTATAAAAAATCGCATAAGCCGCAGTGAAATTGTCACTTTGACAGCGGCAAAAGTTACCTGCAACTTTTCCAGCGACAAATGCACTAGTGGTTTTTTCACTTATTCATTTTCGAACCAATTATCGCATTATCCTTTCCCATATGACTAGTTTGACGTCTGTCAGTAATTGATTAGTTATGTGAATTTCTTGTTCGTTAAATTGTCCTGCCGAATTACACTCGAAGTTTGTATTTAAACCGAGTAAATTTGTGTTGTTGCAATTCAAATCTGTTGCCTTTTAGCAATTGAACTCGAAAAACTGTCAACCTAAAAATGCTCCACCTGCGGTGTCGCATTTTTATTAGTTGACAGTTTTTCTCGTCTAATTGCTAGGCAACAGATTTTCATTACCTAAACAACCCAAATTTACTCGGTAAAATACAACCCTCTTGTGCAATTATAAGTGACAATTCAACTCATGTATAAAAAATCACATAAGCCGCAGTGTAATTGTCACTTTGACAGCGGCAAAAGTTACCTGCAACTTTTCCAGCGACAACTGCACTAGTGGTTTTTTCACTTATTCATTTTCGAACCAATAATCGCATTATCCTTACCCATATGACTAGTTTGACGTCTGTCAATAATTGATTAGTTTGGTGAATTTCTTGTTCGTTAAATTCTCCTGCCGAATTACACTCGAGGTTTGTATTTAAACCGAATAAATTTGGGTTGTGGCAATTCAAATCTGTTTCCTTTTAGCAATTGGACTCGAAAAACTGTCAACCTAAATTAGTTGACAGTTTTTCTCGTCTAATTGCTAGGCAACAGATTTTCATTACCTAAACAACCCAAATTTACTCGGTAAAATACAAACCTCTTGTGCAATTATAAGTGACAATTTGCTGAAACGGTTTTATCACCTCTTGGAACAAAAAATTTAGTTCTAAAGATATTTTTTAACAAAAATATGTAGTCCAAACAGCAATTAAAACCAAATATTTCGTAGGACAACTCGTTACGTAAGGATCTTTTTGCAAAGTGTTAACTTCTACAAAGCGTAAGTTGCACTTACTTCTGAGTTTTATATGTAATTTGTAAACATGTAATTTAAGATGTCTGTGTTAAATAATGTAATGTGATTGTATCTAAATATACTTGCAATTTAACAACTGTGTATTCTTTATCTATATTTGTTATTTAGATCGAATTAGGGAAATTACTTCATGGATTTAGAAGCTAGTCACCAGATGGCGCTACTCTGATTTTGATGCTTTAGTTTACAGTACACCCACCAGGGTCCGCCAAAATACCATACAAATTTGTAACATTGCTGTTTCTATTCTGAGAAGGCCGTATTCTGTGATGACACCTTTATCCACTTGTGTCTTCAATTGTATTTGAGAATAGTAAAATGTATTTGAGAAAACAACAAATGTAGTTCAGAATAATGATTTGTATTTGAGAAGGCATCAAATGAATTTGAGAGTAGTAAATTGTATTCAAGAAATGGTAAAATTAAGCATTTGAGAATCAATAATACAAAATCACATGTATAACATAGCCTGATGCTGCTGCTGCTACTGTTGCGGGACTACATACAGTAGCGGAATTATAAAAATTTGATTCTTAATTATAATTCATTAGGAATAATATTACATTCTAAAATACAATAAAATTAAATGATACTTTCTCAAATACAATTGACTATTCTCAAATACATTTGATGTTTTCTCAAACCCAACTGACTATTCTCATCTACTTTGACGTTTTCTCAAATACAAGTAACAATTCTCAAATACAATTTACAACTTCTCGAATAAAAGTGGAAAAGGTGTAGACCGCGCATAGCCCAAGTTGTATGTTGTCAACATGGTAGGCCACCCACCGAACTCGTAAAGGCAAGAACTCTCGCGCTCCAATTTTCACTATTTGTTTTTGCTGGGATTATATCGCTGAACTGGGCTAGTTTTTCAGTATTTTTTAACATTTCTTTGCTGAATCGAAAGCGCACACTTTCTAGACACATAATGTTCTCAAAAAAATTTTATAAATGGGAATAATGAAATAAATGTAATCTAGTGTAAATGTTCGTATAAGGTTTTTTTACCGGATAGTTACATCTAAGTATAGTTATGTAGAATGGAATGGAAAAAGCAGAAAAGCGCAAGAATATTTTGAGAAACAATTTTTGCGATAGTGTAACAGAGATATGAATTTGTTTAGTCGGCGTCTTTGTTGTACGTCGCGCAGAAATCTCACCGGATGTAATTTGTTTTTGGCACTTCAAGATCATATCATCGTCATATATATCATAATCATGTCCTGCAGGCTGCAGTGAATGAATTTAATACTGAAGGTATTCTTTACAACACGTATTCATTACGAAAATAAGAAAATAAACGAAGCAGATGTGAGAATTAGACATTTATACAACAAATGAGTATTGTTTAAAAGCCAATAAACATTTTTATATCGATAAGCACATTTCATTTTACCATTGAATAAAATTTTTATGCAATAATTGTAGTTATTTCGACTGGTTATATGTAGGATCTTGCTAAACTAGTTCGCGCTTTGCCATTACGAGTATGATGTGTTGCCTAAACATGTTGGCATCACTCTTTTATACGCGAGTAGCATTGTATGCGCGGTCTAGGTAAAACAAGTCTCTGTCGCCAATGTACACGCGGCCTTAGGGGTAAACGAATCGAAAACAACGAAACGCCATTGTCATTGTCAAATCACAAATGTCATTTTGTGTCGGATAGATAGAAGCTAATTTCGGTAATGTGAATGTGCTATTTTGTGTAAAAAGATCGAAACTACCGGTTTTTAGAGCGTTGAGTGAATTAATTGAAGATGTACTCAACAAGCGATTCGCCAAGTTCACAAAGTTATAACAACCAGCAGCAGTGGCCCTTAAATCCAGCAGCATACCAAAATACACCAAACGATCAAATAGATTGGGCTGCCTTAGCCCAACAATGGATTATTATGAAAGAAGTCGGTCCGCCAGTTCCCGAGCAACTGCTAACGCCTCCTCCACCACCAAAGATCAACTCAGTTACGAAAGAAAATGCTTTTGAAGGAGGTGAAGCGCCTATGGAAGTCGAAAAAGACGATGATGCTCAGAAACCTAATTGGAATGAAAATAATTCAACAGAATCGTGGGAATGGAATCAACAACAAAGTTGGGGATGGAATAATACTTGGTCGAATGCTTCATCAGTTCCTTCGCCAGTTGCCAGTGCTTCAAAGGCGCCTTTACTTCCTACTCCGTCGACATTCAATCAATTTTCTAATTCGAATGAAAACAGCAATAATTACGGAAGGTATGTGCTTATACATTTTTCTCAAAAAATTCATCGCTCCTTATTATGATAAAATTACTTACCTTTTATCTCGCCTTTTATTCTTGGTATTTTGACCTAACCTAGGTTTTTGAAGTTAATCTATAAATTACCTTCTGTTACTCCTGCTTTTAAGCTCAAATGGGTAAGTACCCATTTTACAAGTCCGTAGGTGTTCTTGGAAATCAAATTATTGGACCGATATTCCTAGAAAGAAATTGAACAGAGGAGAGCTTTGACAGAGAATGTAAACAAAAAATTTTTCTAAAAAGTATACACCATGGCCTGTATGAATAAAAAGAAGCATATGCTTATACTTGCAAAATTCAAAGTAAATACTCGTAAGTGCCCCTTCACACTGGGCTGCTCAGCAGCTCTGCACTGCGTCCTGTCCCATGGCTAACCATGTTATTTTACATTTCCGCTGATTTTTAACGTCATCCTAGCCCTAGTTATTAATTTCATGTTACAGAATGCATGGGACTCTGCGCTTAAAGTCAAAGTATTTTTAAGGGAGAGCATTACGTTTTCCATTAAAATATAATGTAATTTTGGGCATTGACCAGTTTTTCAGGAATTTGGTTGCCTGCATAACTTATTGCTGAACCTTTCTGGTAGTGTTACTTATTCTCTATTTGATGTAATCACGTAAATATGTACTTTCTTTTGTACGCTGCGGAATAAATCAATTACTATTATTATAATTTTTGACTTGCACAAGTGTAGTTTACATGGAGCAATCTTTGTATTTCAGTTACAACAGAAGTTCCAGTGAGTATACTGGTGGATATTGGACTGCAAGTGGCAGCAAAGGGAAACCGCACAATAAACGGTACAGCAAAGTAAATGTTTCCACGCGTCCGACAACCTCATCCCCTTCGATTGATCCGGTCATGTTGGATGCTACAAAACGCAAACAACTACCTGCTTGGATCCGTGAAGGTTTGGAAAAAATGGAAAGAGACAAACAGAAGCAAATAGAAAGAGAACGTGTAAAGCAGGAGAAGCAAGAGATTAATGAGAAATCATTGTTTAATGAAAAAGAAGCTTTGGAAATTATCAAGTCTACAGTTAAGGAGAGGGAGAGAAGTAAATTTGTAAGTCCTTGCCATTACAAGTGCTTAATAATGTAAAGTACTGCCGTTGTAGGATAGCGATGGGGAAGATTCACCTGTTGAGGCTGACAATGGAGACATTGAGGGCATTTCTACTGAAAGTGTACAACTAACACAAGAAGAATTGGTAAATATATATGTTAACAGTCACAAATATATAACAAACAGTTTAAGATGATGAAGGTGCGACGGACGATGACGGAAATTTTATTAAAAGTTACGAATCAAGAAATACGGGCGGTATGTAAAGAAGAATTTCAAAGACAGTTAAGGAAAAGCAAAGGTATTTATTATCAGTTCATGTGGTGTTAAAAATTGATTTAACTTGATGACGATACATAGTTATTGTTTAAAGCGTTGAATTTGTGAGATTGTTAGCAGGATGAACGGAGCTAATGTGTTTATTTAATAAACTTCAGCTTCAGATCAACGTGTATCCGCACCCAGCGGAACCAATGCTCGCGGCAAACTCGGTAAGTTGCGCGCGCAAAGCGATTCATTCTTAATTTTTAACTATTTGAGCAGTAATTTTTTGGGTTATATTTTAACAAAAGTCAATATATTATTAAATAAATATGATATTGGTTACATTATTTTGATGGGTGTTCTATTCAGGTGGGCATTCAAACTTAATTTGGAGTTGAGTGTTTGTTCCAGGCACTTCACTTCATGCGTCCACTGATGTAGGTGTTGAATAGCGTCAGGTTTGTGCATGGTACTATTTTCTTTTTCATTGTAAAGAGTACTGTATCTGCTTTTGCAGTATTGATCTTTAGATCTTCTACCAAGTACTATCTCTCCAATACTTTTATGAGTTTTTTCCGAGGTTTTGTCATTAGAACTTCAAAACTCCCTTCAATTATTATTACGATATCAACATCTCTGATTGAAGCAACCTTTGTTGTCAAAAAGTTATTGTTAGGCACGTAGGAGTGGGAATAAAACACCTGCTTGTGGACGCCCCCTGGGCATCGATTCCCGAAGTTAGTCGATATGCTCCGTGATGTGGATGTGATGTGACCGGATGCCATGACGTCACGATCGTATACGATAGAGATAAGTTCAAGTTTAGCTGCATTCCTGAATCGTGGACAAACTTTATGCGTTAACCAATCACAGACAAGAATTGAACTGTCATTTGTCAGTTTTGTATTTTGTTTTGTTTTTGCATTATGGGTACTGTTATTAATAACCAGAAAATCCTAGAACAATTCCATGTTTTATTTCACAGAAAATATGTGAATGTATAGGTTAGGACACTGAATAACCCCTAGCAAAACAGCTGCAAAATCCGTCCTGTAGACCTGTTGTTGCGTTCGATTAACTTATCGCTCGATGTGGTAGGTTCGAGAATGCAGTCATATTCACGTTCACATCAAGGTCAGTAGATCTTCGGGAATCGACGCCCTGGTCGGTGAACGTTTTGAAGATATTAAGTTCTTTTTTTTTTCATTCGATAGCTTACATACCTCTGGCACCTCGACCAAGAAAAATCTTGACAATTGATGTGGGAATGCGCAGACTGCGCAATGCCCTTTTTAGCGCATTTCCACAAAAATAAAAAAAAAATGCGCTGTTGTGGCCACTTTACCCGTCCGTCCGGCTGTCCGTCCGTCCGTCCGTCCGCTACATTTGCGACGCTACTAGTTCTTTATCTTAAGAGCTATCGTTCTACTTTTTTCGCTATTTGGTTCGTTATGGTGTCGAGGCTTGCACCAAGGAAGGAATTTTTTCTGCGTTTATTGCTAAAAAAGTTATTGTAAAAAAACCAACAAACCGTTTTGTACATATTCCATAATTTTACACTTTTGCCGTTTATTAACCATCCTAGAGATCATTTATAATTTTGTATTGTTGTCTGTCGTCTGTCTGTTGGTCTGTCCGTCTGTTCCTGTACCTGTCTGTCCCTCTATCTGTCCGTGTGCACAATAATTTTGTTTGCTTTTGCTTTGCTTTTACATCTCCGTTAGTTATGAACTGAAATGAAATTCAATATGGGCATAGCCTTAGCCATATAATACGCAATGCCAAAAGTTGAGTCGAATCGATTCAAAATTCACAGTGCCCTTTTCGCATCTCGGCCATTTATAAACCGAATTGCCAACTTTTTTTCTTATAAAAGTATTTGAATGAAATTTGATACATAGGCACTTGGAATAAAGGAAAATCTAACGCCAGTTTCAAAATTTGGTTTTGCGCATGCGCAGTGCGAACTTTTTTATTTATGGAAGAATTTAAATGAAATTTGATACATAGGCGCTTGGAATAAAGGAAAATCAAATGCCAGTTTCAAAATTTGTTTTTGCGCATGCACAGTGCCAACTTCTTTATTTATGGAAGAATTAAAATGAAATGTGATACATAGGCACTTGGAATAAAGGAAAATCTAACGCCAGTTTCAAAATTTGGTTTTGCGCATGCGCAGTGTCAACTTTTGTATTTATGGAAGCATTTAAATGAAATTTGATACATAGGTGCTTGGAATGAAGGAAAATCTAGCGCCAGTTTAAAAATTTTATTTTGTCCATGCGCAGTGCCAACTTTTTTTATCTATGGAAGCATTTAAGTGAAATTTGATACTTTGGCGCTTGGAACAAAGGAAAATCTAACATTAGTTTCAAAATGTAGGTTTGCGCATGCGCAGTTCCAACTTTCTTATTTAGAAAAGCATTGAAATGAAATTCTTCTTATAAACTGAAATTGAAGTAGCACGTCAAAAATGGATTGCCCATGTGCAACGCTATCTTTCATATTTGTGGTCGGATTTTTACGATTTTAACAGAAGTTGCATCTTACAAATGGGAAATGAATGCAAGTGGAAATGCGCTTTATGTAAATCGTTTACGATTCCTTTTTAACTTGTTTATTTATTGAGATAATTGTTTGAAATGTTAAAATACTTCTTATAAAAGCAAGTATATCGCATATAATAAAAATCAGGTGTGCGCATGCGCAGGCTGCGAAATTCTAACTTTCTTATTTATAGAAATATTTCTTTAAAATTTTAAGATACTTCTAGTAAAAGTTAACGTATCTCATACTGTAGACACTAGGTGTGCGCATATGCAATGATAACTTTCTTATTTATAGAGATATTTTTTTGAAATTTAAACCAGAGATACTTCTAGTAAAGAAAAACGTATGGCCTTTTGGAAAATACTGATCACTGCACGGAAAATGCGCCAAAGTTACTCGCCTTAGGCGAAAACCTTTGTACTTGTCTTTTTTGTCCTCTACCTCATTTCGTAAAATTCAATACGGCGGCCATAAGGAATAAGGAAATAGTACCCAGTAACTTCTACATCTAGCGTGTTATGGAAATTCTTATAACAAATTCAAATTCTGCGTAAAAAAAGTGCCCATAGAAGGTGCTAACGGGAACCGTCTATTTCCGACCGTTTTCCCAAGGGCGCAAACGTAACTTGCTTTGGTTGCCTGGTTTTAGTGACAATTTATATCTCTCCCATTTCACGGCAGGGGAAAGAGTGCTTGCGTCCGAGCGCTGCTTTACCTGTCCTTTGCTTGTTGCCTAAGAGACGACCTTGGATATCTCCTGGTCCGTTATTTTTTGCGTCTACGCTTTCCTTTTCTGCGTGCGCTTGAAATACGGATCATACTTGACGCCCTTTCTTTGGCATTAAGTGTTGGACACTTAATCCACGATTTTGAAGAGTGATCACATTAAAAGTGTTTTGTTATACATATTTAATAATATATTGACTTTTGTTATATATTATATCTGTACTCTATATGGTTCTATTTTAATCTGTTAGGTACAGATTTTTTATTATGCATTTGCGCATGTTTCATTGTTAACTTTTACATACAAAATATCAAGCGGCGTGTTTTATTCAAGAATTTAATACAATACAATTTTAGTTTTGTTATCCATGAGTGTCATACATTTCCACAGAAATATAAATGTAGAATGAATTAGCAAAATAGTAGCAACTTTTCGTTTGGTATGATGCTTAATACTGAAATACAAAAAATGAGTATCAGGTTTTGGTTATTTACAGAAACAAATTTAATAGAACCCCCTGTACAAGTTACATGCTGCGTGTATAAATAGGATTTGCAAACGACCAATGAGGGAAAGTAATAATGATTGGATACGGTAGGAAGTGCCTATATTTATGTAATGGTATCTTTTGCAAAGGGAAAATGTATCACACTAATTCAATATATAGATTTCCGCAATACTTAAACACACGAATTTAGTAAACATTATTAATTTGTCCTCTTCTCTCAGGAAATTCGTCATAAGCAAAATTCATGTTTAGGAAAATTTAGTTGCAGGGGAAGGTGCTTTAGACCGGGTTTTTTGCGGAACGAGTTTTCTTTGAGGCTAAATATTCAAGAGATTATGTTAAGGTGCACTAAATGGTCTTGTGGGCCAGAATACAAATAACAGTGAAGTGAATTTAGTTACCTGGTTGAGTGCTCCAATGAAAATTTATTTAATATGACAGGCAGTAGAAAATAAATATTGCCAAACTTTGGTGGATGGTGGTGGCATCTGTAATATTCTGTTAAAGTTACAGAAAAATTTAGGTTTTTGGTTTTATTTTAAGGCGTTCGTGCAGTAACGGTCAAGTCGCGCGACCCGGTCACCCTGGCCTAATAAAAACATTGTGTTCAAATGTACACCGTGCATGTGAATGAATGAGCGCGCACTAGCAGTACACTAGTAAATTGGTCATGAAGAATCGCTGGAAAATATTTTCAAGTTTTATAAATGACCAGAAGAGGGCGTAACTGCCATCTTAAATTTTAACATTGCATTTTCTTTAAATGTTGCATAAGCAAAAAAAATTTTTCACATTATTAAAGAGAACCAGGTTATCTACCATTTTCGTAAAAACAAAAAGTCAATTGTTTCAAAAACAAAGATGGTGTGGGGCGTTCAATTGTTTTTGCAATAACCTGCTTTAACTTCTTAACCGTTTGACCGATTTTAATAAATTTGGTATGGTTGAAAAGAGCATTCCTTGGGGAATGAGAATTAACCAAAATAGAGTTAATTTAGTTGAATCCTTCTTCGCTAGGGGGCTAGTTTTGACACTTATGACCCAAAATCCTTAAAAAAACAAATGGAATGATATGACTTTTTCTTTATGAAAAAGTAGCTAAATAACATCCAAAGAGGCCAGTGAAAACCGTTTTTCAAAATCCCGTTCCTAACCTCAAATATTGGGAAAATGAGATTAATTAATTAATTAATAAAAATGCTTAAATTGTATCTTATTTCACGTATTTCCGGTATTTGTCGATGGCGCGAAAGATTGTTTGGAAAAGCACCCTACACTTTTAGGTAGGCCTTGGAAAATTAAACAAATGAAACACGATGCATTATAAAATAATAACAGCCATAATTTGTAAATTATTCTGCTGTGTTTACCTTCAGAAAGTGCATTTTTTTGAATTTGTAATCTTTTCTAAAATGCCGATTTCTAACCAAGAAGCATTTAATATGCTGCCGATACATTTTGAGTATTTTAAAAATGCGACCATCGCTGCCCATATCTTCTATTTGCGT